TTATGTGGAACTAAACCAAAAAATATTTTATTTGGAGCCTCAAATATTCTATCTTCAATAGATTATGTAAATGTGAACCACCTTGATGCATATATCATTAGTTTTGATATATTCAAAGCATATGATAAGACAACAATTGAGTTTGTAACTAGAGTCATGAGAAAGATGGGTTTTGGTCCAGAATTTATAAGCTGGGTGGAAACTTGTCACAGAGAAATAACAACATGCTTCATTCTTGGCAAACTTACAAGAGAACTCCCTGTAGCAATTTCTTTAAGGCAAGGAGATCCAGCAGCAATGCCTCTTTTCTTGATTAACATGGAGCCTCTCTTGAATTTTATTAAACACAATATTCAGGGGATTCAAATTGGTCCCGTGAAACAAGGATCTGAACCCTATGTTGATGATGTTACAGCTGTTTCATCACGGCTTGAGGATATGAGACTCTTGAACAAAGCTTTTCTTAGGTTTGAGAGCCTGTCAGGAACTGTTCTTAACAGAACTAGTAAAACCAAAGTTATGGGGTTAGGTGGCTGGGCAGGAAGGGAGCGCTGGCCTCTAACTTGGGTGAGAACAGCACCATCTCTGAGAATTCTTGGAATTAACTTTCACCCCACAGTGACAGAGACAATTAGGAGTTCTTGGGAGAGTTGTTCTCAAGGTTACTTTAATCTGCTGGTATCTTGGGGCTCTAGGAATCTACCAACCCTGGAGCAGAGAGTAAGGGTGTTAACCACCTTTGCCATGAGCAAACTTTGGTACTTGGCTCAGGTATTACCAATTCCTGGCACAGTGGTTGAAGCTTTAGAGAGAACCACTAGGGTGTTTTTATGGAGGGGTAGGATGGAGAAGTTACCCTATGAAGAACTGTTTAATAAGGTGGAAGAAGGTGGATTGGGACTTCCTAGCATTTCTGTAAGATGTGACTCTCTTTTTCTTACCCAAGTATCTAGAATCTTGTCTGTTAATGGTCCTCATAGGAATCATTTAATCTACTGGATTGGGATGTCTTTGACCACCTGGTTACCAGAGCTCAGGGGAGGTCTGAATGCACAGATTACAACTCCTTACTTCAAGAAAGTAATCTGTTTGCTGAAGGAGTCCTTCATTCTTGGGGCAGTAAACCCTCAGGGCTTGAAGCAGGTCAAGGCGAAGAAGGTCTATTTGGAGCTCATGAACTCCCCCCCTCCTCCAAAGGTGCTGTCAAAGCATGCTGGAGTAGAATGGGAGAGGGTTTGGAGAAATCTAAGATCTAAAGTCATAAGCATACAAGGGAGAGATCTGATCTTTTCGATTATTCACAACATATACAAGACTAAGTCAAGGTTGTTCAGAATGAATCAGCATCCATCAGGACTTTGCAACTGGTGTAGGGTAGAAGAAACATGCAGCCATTTCTTCACAAGCTGCATATATACAAATGAAACCTGGATATACCTCAAGACTGTTCTCAGAAGAATAATTGGGAGTCAGCCATTAATCATGGATAATTTAAGACTTTTGTTTCTAGATATTCAACCACACAGGAATTTAAATGAGATATTATTCCTTATCTCTTTTTATGTAATCTATGTTCATTCTTGCAAGTGGGAAGGGAATAACCCAACAGTTTCCCATTTAAAGGGTTTTTTAAAACATGCAATCCTTGTGTACTCCAAGGGAAACTTTCCAAGCCTTGGAAATCTAATTGAGAATCTCTAATTATAACCAATGAATCTAATTTAAGGAATTAATGGTTAAACATTTTGCAAGTCCAACATTTTGTCATGGAAACTGTATATGTTATAATACAATATTTATCCATGTAATATTACCATAATCAAATCTAATGTATTAACCAATTTGTTAATTTATAACCATTGTATGTTTCTGTGAAAATATATAATATAAAAAAAATGCTGAACCAATTAGCAGAACCCTGATCTTCCATTTAAACATGAAATGTATGTTGTTGATAAAATTTGGTAATACATCTGTACTAAAGTAATTAAAAGAGGGTCGGTTGAGGGTGCACCCGGTTGAGTCGGGTGGCAAGGAATGTATAGTAGCGGCCCCACTCTAACTCCAAAAGCACAGTAATTAGTTAATACCCCAACCTTTTAAAGTTGTTTTGAGCATGACATTATTATTTCAAGTTTTGTTTAATTTATTCAAACTTATTTAGGGTTTCATTTTAAGTCTTGCCTCACATTTTACTTCAAAGGTTCATTAATTTTGGTATATTTGTTCGTGATACATTTTCTGATTAAAAAGTACATTAGATATCAAAAGTTATTGCAGACATGTAAATTTATTAAAATAATGTCTTTTACTATTAGTTTAAGTTAATAATCATCGATTTCAATAAGAACTATTTTCTTTGCCGTAGCACTCTTTCTCTCTCTCTCTCTCTCTCTGTCAGAAATGCCGGACCGGGCTGCCGAACGGTTAGAAAGACAGAAAGATAGACAGAGACCAAGAGAGAGAGAGAAAATACTAAATGCCCCAGTCAAACAGACGTGTGCTCAGCAGATCCCGGAAAACGAAGATAATGGGGCTCGGAGAATGGAAGGATGAGGACAGATGGGAGCTTCCTTGGGTCCAATCTGTGACGGATATGAGGATATTGGGGATTCAGCTAGCTACTTTAGTGCATCAATCATGTCAACTAACATGGGAGGCTGCTGTTAGGAGTATTCGATCACTGGTCCAGCAATGGGTTACTCGAAGGGGGATCTCCTTGGCAGGGAAGGTGAGACTCTTGAATAAGCTGATTCTGGCAAAACTGTGGTATGGTGCTCAGATACTCCCAATCCAGCAGCAGGTTGTGGATCAAGTGCACCAATCAATGTCATTCTTCCTCTTCAATGATAAGGTGGAGAGGATTTCCCTGGATCAACTGTACGCAGCTAAAGAGCTTGGTGGTCTGGGGTTGGTGAATGTACAGGCCAAGTGCCAGGCTCTTCCAGCAAAAACAGGATATTGGATGGTTCAAGGAGGGAGTAAGCATCTGAGATACTGGATGGCTTTAAGGCTACGTGAACACCTTCTAGTTGCTGGGCCTAGAGCAGAGGTTTCCACAGACTTCTTCAAGAGCTGGAGTGACCTTGTGAAGGAAGCCTTTGAGATCCAAGCCTTGAACAGGAGAGGAGTGATAACAACAAAGAGCCTATACCTGGGTTTCATGGAAACTCCTCTGCCAAGCAGAGTTCAGGAGTTGAATCTTCCCTATGTTGAGACAGTGTGTAGGAGGATGCATAGGGTGGGGGATAGCGGAACAATAGAGTTCTACTTCCAGGTTGTTACTAACACTCTTCCCACCAAGGCAAGACTCCACTACCTTAACCCAAGAAGGTGGGAAGATAGTACATGTACCTGGTGCAGGAATAGCCCAGCAAGCACCTTCCACATCTTCACACAATGTAGAGCAGTGGTTGAGATCTGGGAGTGGTTGAGAGCAAAGATCTTCACTCTCTCCAGGGAATCTGTAACCTGGTCTGACACCCAGGTGTTCTGGCTACAGTTTCCAAGGGATAAGTATGCATTGGAGATAGCCTACCTCACCATGAAAGTAACTCAGCTGTGGTGGATGTTCCAGAAGGAGGCAAGGATCCTGACAGTGAGACGTCTGGAAGCTCTGATCCAACAGGACATAAGAAAGAGAGAAATTAATAAAGTAGTTCCTCATGTAATATACCATAATATAATTGTATGAACTGTTGAAATATAAGAAATGTGCATGTAAAGTTGATAGATTAGAAATAAAATTGCAAGTGAACCGAAAAAACGTTCACCAAAAATCACGGTGAGACCTCTAACTTTTTCATTGCTATCAGAGAAATGTGTCCTACATAATGATTTTCCCACGAGGGTTGCACACTCCAACAGGCCGTGATAGCTCAATTGGGAGAGCGTTAGACTGAAGATCTAAAGGTCCCCGGTTCGATCCCGGGTCGCGGCATTTTTCTTGTTTGTAACCTTTAATCAAAATGAAAAATTCTCTTCTTTTGAAGAAAATTTTATTCTCAGTACCTGTTTACAACAAAAGGGTGAGTCCAAGGCACCAGCGAGATTCAAACTCGCGATCTCCTGTTTACTAGACAGGCGCTTTAACCAACTAAGCCATGGAGCCGGATTACTAAAGTTTGAAAAGATTTTGAAATGTTCTTGCATGTCTGTAGGCAGGGCTGTTGGCTACAAGTGTTTCTCTGCAAAAACTGTGAGTCAAAAAGTTTGTCGCCCAACATGGGGCTCGAACCCACGACCCTGAGATTAAGAGTCTCATGCTCTACCGACTGAGCTAGCCGGGCTTGGTGTCAAAGCTGGGTACATTGTTGAACAAACTGGACATTGATTGTCAAGCAGAGTTTGTTTTGGCGGGAACCTTGTTCTCAAAGTCTGCAGTCGTGGCCGAGTGGTTAAGGCGTCTGACTAGAAATCAGATTCCCTCTGGGAGTGTAGGTTCGAATCCTACTGACTGCGAAATTCTTTTTGGGGCAGTACTCAGATATCAGCGAATGTTTAACACACGGAGAGGTTTTCCACGTGTAAAAGACTTAAATAAAGCAAAAGAATGGGTCAACACAAGTTGACTGACAACTTCAATTCTCACTTTTTTACAAAGGTCAGTTTTCTCATGATGCCATGCCTATGTCAAACATTCTCTGATGACTACATCTGCATCGTTGGTTCAGTGGTAGAATGCTGGCCTGCCACGTGGGCGGCCCGGGTTCGATTCCCGGACGATGCAATCTTTTGCCATTCTTTTCTTAAAGTTTTCCTAAGATCGTGGAAAGCAATTTTAAAAAAGTTGTGGAGGCGCCGGGTATCGATCCCGGTACCTCTCGCATGCTAAGCGAGCGCTCTACCATCTGAGCTACGCCCCCAGTTATATCGTGTGTTAGTTGGTTAGCTCAGATATTCAGACTTTGTATGCAGATCTCGCACAGAACCCGGAAACATCGGAACAAAAGGTCAGAACTAGATTGTGGCGCGGAATTTAAATTTTGAGTTTCATAGCACCTTCGATAGCTCAGTTGCTAGAGTGGTGGACTGTAGTTGGTTTAAGCAGAGATCCATAGGTCGCTGGTTCAAATCCGGCTCGAAGGATTGCCTTTTTTTTCTAAAGGAGCTGTGTTATACAGAATTCCCAAGAGGGTTACTGTAACAACTGCATTTAACAATCCTCGTTAGTCTAGTGGTGAGGATCTCCGCCTGTCACGTGGAAGGCCCGGGTTCGATTCCCGGACGGGGAGTAACATATCAACATGAATCTGCCTATACTAGGAGTCATCAACTTCTGAGACTCCTACAAAATGTTGGTCCTGCAGAATACTAAATAAACCATCAAGAAACCTGAAATAATTATTTTGTGATTTTACATAAAATATTGTCTTGAATAAGTCTCTGTAAAGTTTGCACTGAAATATATAATACCACATCACTGAAGTTAAGCAACATTGAGCTAAGTTAGTACTTGGATGGGTGACCGCCTGGGAATACTTAGTGCTGTAGGCATTAACTTTTGTGATTTTTTTATTTTATTTCAAAACTTGTAATTTTTGGATCAATATTCTGGATATTGAAATTTCAAAGTTGTGCAACACCGTGTACGTCAAGGAGTTTTTATTCTTTATATGTGTGCGCAAATGCAATTGTGATTACTTTGGTATAAAAACTATGCATGTATTATCACTCTGGAGTGGCACTCTATTCTCTACCTTTGTGAAATATATGCTGACAGATAAAAGTAAGGTTTTTTTTTTCTTTTATTAGTTCTGTATAGAGTCTATAATCAAAGAGTGTCTGGCTTTTTGAGTTTTGAACAAAATTGTTAATCAAATCTCTAGAAACAGTTCCTAAAGATCTTAGCGTAAAAAATAAGAGTTTGACTTTCAGTTATTCTCTTTGCATTGTTTTCTTAAACTTTGCGTGGCTGTTGTTGTTAATCAGACAATCTTATGGAATAGGTTGAGTATAAGTATAGACACTTTTTGATTATATAAAATATAGTAAAGCTCTTCAGTTGTACTATTTACATTAGTTTAACTATTGATAGCCCAGGATAAGAAAAATTAAAAGAATTTGCCCCCGGTGAGGCTCGATCTCAAGGCCTTCAGATTATGAGACTGACGCGCTGCCTACTGCACTATGGAGGCTGTTGGCAGAAGGGAAAAGTGAAAAAAGAAGTAATTCCAATGATTTTAACGGCATCGGCCGGGAATCAAACCCAGGTCAACTGCTTGGAAGGCAGCTATGCTCACCACTATACCACTGATGCTTTCTTGTTAATGTTGTAATACAGATCCCTGCAGATGATGTACATTAGGAAAGGTCATCAAACAAAAAGTCACTGCCATGACCAGGATTCGAACCTGGGTTACTGCTGCCACAACGCAGGGTCCTAACCACTAGACGATCACGGCTAGAGACATCCACCAATGGGAGAATGAGCGCATAGCTCTCAATCTGTGAAAGGTCAATGACAAGGAAGTAATTTCTTCACAAAATGGTGTTAGGTTTGATCAGTAAGCAACTTTTGAATCCTTTTAATGTCTACGGCCATATCATGTTGAAAGCACCAGTTCTCGTCCGATCACTCTTGAGTACGGACATGTGTGAATAAGGCTCCGGTATTACCTCCCCCCCCCTCCTTCAGTCGGGGCTGGGTCCGTTTTTCCTGGGCTAATTAATTATCTCCGGCAGGAGACTCCAATTTAAGCGAAGTTTTAACACTAGCGCCAATTTTGCACGGCGGCAAGTTTTGTCAGTGGCAAAGTTGGTTAAATCATCGGGTTTAGATATTGAAATCCGAGTTCGAGCCTACCCAACATGGCATCTATGAACAAGATATTCAGCTCCAGGAAGAACTGTCTGGTCATTGACGTGGTTGATGCGTTCCCTGGAGACATTGTCCCTACCCAGGAATGGGTTGATTTCCTGGTGGAGTGCCTGAAGCTTGATTTTGATAAGATACTGAGCTCCTACATCTATCAGAAGACAAACCTACTGATGGTTACAGTTAACTCTGAAGAAGTTTTTGAAAGTGTACTCCAGAGCCTGGAACAAGGAGTACTGTGGACCAAATACAAGAAGAAAGTATTTGGGTGGTCTGCGACCACTGTGACCACCCCTGTAACAGTTGTGAACCTCCCCTTTAACCTAGATCTGAACCTCATTAATAACCTCCTCTCAAAGTGGGGAACCATCACCAAGGGATCTCTGGGGTACCTAAAGGAGACTGGTTACAAGGTAGCTGATGGCACCTACCACCTGAAGATGGTCCTGAAGGAGAATACAGTGCTTCCCTCTATGATTGATGTGCCCAGCATTGGGGAACAATTCCTGGTATTTAGCACAGCCTCTAAGAAGGTCTGTCTTAATTGCACAAAAGTAGGGCATATTAGCCGCTACTGCCGCTTCCAACAGAGGACACCAGCAGCCTCTAATCCCTCTTGGGCAAGAATTGTTGAGGAGGGAGTGAGTGTGAAGAATCCCAACCCACCCCCCTAAAAGAGGAAACCGATCAACAAACTGAGAATTTAAAACTTTTTATGAAAACCGGAAACTGACCAAAAAAATGAGGAAACAGACCCAATAAAAGACGAAACCGATCAAAAAACTGAGATTTTAAAACTTTTTTTGAAAACCGGAAACGGACCCAAAAAAAGAGGAAACGGACCCAAAAAAAGAGGAAACGGACCCAAAAAAGAGGAAACCGATCAAAAACTGAGATTTTAAAACTTTTTTTCAAAACCGGAAACGGACCCAAAAAATGAGGAAACGGACCCAAAAAAAGAGGAAACCGATGAACAAGCTGAGAATTTAAAACTTTTTATGAAAACCGGAAACTGACCAAAAAAATGAGGAAACAGACCCAATAAAAGACAAAACCGATCAAAAAACTGAGATTTAAAAACTTTTTTTCAAAACCGGAAACGGACCCAAAAAATGAGGAAACGAAAGCTTCATTTCTAGATAAAAACCAATTAAATTTAAAAACAGCTAGATTTGTTGCACTTGCAGTAATAATTGATGTTTTTTATTTGTTTCTTAATAAGCCTTGTAAACAAACATACCCACTTCTGTTGTACTATTTACATTAGTTTAACTATTAATAGCCCAGGATAAAAAAATCAAAAGAATTTGCCACCGGTGAGGCTCTAACTCACGGCCTTCAGATTATGAGACTGACGTGCTGCCTACTGCGCTACAGAGGCTGTTGGCAGAAGGGAAAAGTGAAAAAAGAAATAATTCCAATGATTTTAACGGTGGTCCAAAAAAAATAAAAAAGACAATGCGTCGGCCAGGAGTCGTACCCGGGTCAACTACTTGGAAGGCAGCTATGCTCACCACTTTCTTGTTAGGCTGGTAATACAGATCGCTACAGGTGATGTACATTAGGAAAGGTCATCAAACAAAAAGTCACTGCCGTGACCAGGATTCGAACCTGGGTTACTGCGGCCACAATGCAGGGTCCTAACCACTAGACGATCACGGCTAGAGACATCCACCAATGGGAGAATGAGCGGATAGCTCTCAGTCTGTAAAAGGTCAATGACAAGGAAGTAAGATCTCTGTTCAAATGTGGGGTTTCCAACAGTTTCTGTGTGTAGAGGTTATCACATCTGCCTAACACGCAGAAGGTCTCCGGTTCGATCCGGGACAGAAACAGCATCCTAGGATAGCTGGCTTTCACCTAGCAGGCCTGAGTTCAACTCCCGGTGTGGGAAATATTTTTGATTAAATAATCTGTGCTCAAATTTTATCCTTTCAATGTTATTTTCTCTTGGTTATTTGTATGAAGCCAAAACAGTTTCCCCTTTCTACCGCCATGACGAGGAAGCCGCGTTGTTAAGGCATTGGACTGCTAATCCAATGGGCTCTGCAGTAGTGGTTATCACGCACCCTTCACACGGGTGAGGTTGCCGGTTCAATCCCGGCAGGTAACAGGGCCTTTTTTTGGTTTGAAGGTCATATTTCCGTGTGGTAGAGTTGTTCTTAAGTCTGCCTTCTCTTTCGATACCCTGGCTCATTGGTCTAGGGGTATGATTCTCGCTTAGGGTGCGAGAGGTCCCGGGGTCAAATCCCGGACGAGCCCACCAATTCCTTTTGTTGATGAGGATCAAAAACTACCGATGGAGACTTATCATGGGTGTGTTGATTTGTAGGAAAAATTGCAAGCTCTGCAAACAAGGAACACACTATTTTTGTGACACTGGAACCTGACAACTGGCCCTTGTGTGTAGCAAGGTCTCATGGTGTAATGGTTAGCACTCTGGACTCTGAATCCAGCGATCCGAGTTCAAATCACAGTGAGACCTCTAACTTTTTCATTGCAATCAGAGAACTGTGCTAGGGGAGGGCACGTGCCCAGCCGCCCCCCCCCCCTAGTTGCGCCTCTGCCCTGGTAAATAGCACCCTTTGTGCGGCTTAAAAACTTTTTGTCATTAAGTTTTGTTAATACTTAGAGCAGCTGGAGAACATTGTGCAGGGAAGAGGGTTCAAGGCAGTGGTATCTAGTGGGAAGGGTATGCTGGGGGTTGGAGTGCTGATCCATGAGTCTCTTCCTGATGCATGAGTTGAACATCTCCACCCTGGGCGGCTTCAGGCGTGCTGGGTTGGGGTTTCAAGATTCTCAATGTATATTGTCCTGCTGGCACAAACCTAGCTCAGCAACGAAGAACCTTCCTAACTACTTCTGTCCTGGCAGCTTGCAGGAATACTCAGATGATTATGGCAGGTGATTTCAACTGTGTGACTGGCCAGCTTGATGTTGAGGAGAACTTTAGAAATAAGAGAAGTATGGAGATGATTCAGATGGTTCAGACGTTCAATCTCAGAGATTTCTTCAGGGAGGAACAGCACTACATCAGGGAATACACCTTCCATCGGCCTGGATCTACGTCAGCTTGGTTAGATTGTATCTACCTGACCCAGGATGTGGTAGGCAGTGAATGGTTCAGCACTCCTATGTTGTCTGACCATGAAGCTATCGGTATGGTAGTGGAGCTTCCGACTGCCCTAGTAAGAGCACCAAGACCCAAAGCCAACTGGAAGCTTAACACCTCCATCCTTCAGCATCAGGATGTTCGTAGCAAGGTAGAGAAGATGATTGAAGCAGCTGATCTGATGAATTCTCCAGAGCAGTGGGAAAGAGTAAAAGAGGATATAACTATGGTGTTGAAGGACTTCTCCCAGCTGAAAAGTGCCTTGAACCAGGGCACTTTCCAGTTCCTGACCTGGAACCTTGAGCAGGCACTTGGGGAAAAGAACTGGTCCACTGTAACTTACCTCAAGGACAGGCTAAAGGGATTAATTCATCAGAAATTGCAGGGTTTCATGATTTGGTCAGGCTGTTCCCAGCAACATGAGGAAGACCAGGCAACCTTGTTCCACGCCAAGAGGGAAATGGTGAGGAGGAAAGGGTCAGGGTTGACAGAGATGAAGATTGGTAACCAGTTGGTGACGGATCCAGGTAGACTCAAACTAGAAGTTGAGCGGTACTACAATGCTCTGTATAATGGGCATCATAGAACAATAGGAGATAGTCTGGTCAACACAGGAGAGAACTTCACTCCATGTTGGGAGATGAAGGAGGAGTTCTTCAAAGACCTTCCAACCCTTCCTGAGTATGAATCGGATGTAATACATGCAGTTCTGACAGAGCAGGAGGTGAAGCAGGTATTGGAAGAGTGTAGGGTAGGAGCTGCTCCAGGTCCTGATGGATTGTCCTATGAGTTCTATAAGACTTTCAACAGGGCACTTGCCCCAGTCCTAGCAGGGGTGTATAATCACTACCTGGAGGAGGGAAGGATGCCAAGGAGTTACAAGATGGCTTCAACACGGCTGATTCCAAAGGTGGATGGAACCCCATCAATTGATCAACTGCGACCAATTACACTCCAGAGCTGTGAATTCATGTCAAAGGTCTTCACAAAGCAGCTGTTGTTGCAGAAAAATAATACCCTGTCTGCAGTAGCAGGAAATTTAAAGTGATTCTGTATATGTGGTTTTAAAATGAAACAAGATTAACTGAACAATAATTTATTACTTTAAATACAAATATATAAGTTCCACTCTTAAAAATAGAGAGCTCTGTGGCACTGATAGATTCGCAAGACTCTTCCGAACTAAACAAAAGTCAGGTTAAACAAGCATTTAAAAGTTTACAGCCATAAGGGTCCCATAAAAGGTCCAATAGTTACAGCTGTAAAGAAGCTAAAGTTAAGCTTATAATTCATAAGTTTAAAGCTTAAACCATGGTATTAACCAAACTCAACTTTGTTTACTTTAATTGGAATGCAATAATGGTGCTAATCAATAAATTATTATGGCTATTTAACCATTTTATTAGCATTAACTAATGCACTGGTGACTCGGTAATTATGAGGACCACTGTACTTTCAAATTAAAACCATGTAATAAATTGCATAGTAAAACTTTTGCATAATAAATGCAATGAATAAAATTGGCAAACTTAAATTTTGCCAATAATTGCAATGTAAGAAAGTTGCAATGAATAAGAAAGGTTGCAATAACGTTTCAAAATTAAAGATATCGCTGCAAAAGTTGCAATAACGTTGCAAAATGTGGCAAAACGTTGCGAAATGGAATGAATTGCTGAAACTTCCAAGAAGGCAAATTTCATTAGTTGCAAAAGAATTGAGTTGCAGAAACTTCCGTAAAGGCAAATTTCATGGGTTGCGGAAACTTCCAAAAAAAGGCAAATTTCAAGTAAACTTAAATAAAGGTTTATACTTACTTTTCCGGGCAGAACCAGGCTCCAAACCAGAATGTCCCGTCTTTCAGTTTCAATTCAATTGTTGCTTCAATTCAATTCAACTCAATTCAATTCAGTTCAGTTCAATTCAGTTCAGTTCAATTCAGTTGTCGCTCTAAGCTCCGGATTCACAACACAACTGGCGTGTTTGTTTACATTTCCATTCATCAACAATTAATATTTGTAAACATAAACATAAACATAAATAAGGAATACATAAAAAATATTCTGTTGACAATTATTAACCAGACAAAATTTTCATACAACAGCTGTTGGGGTCTTTGGAGCATGTGATTGGACCATGGCAGCACTGTGCAATCCCAGGGAGAGCTATAACTACTCCCTTGGTGAACACACTATCCACAGTAGAGAATGCTGACTGTCATGACATCAACTGCTATGTTCTGTCTACAGATATATTCAAGGCATATGACCGAACACATGTTGGGTTCATCCTGGAGATTATGAAGAGAATGGGGTATTCCCTAAGAACCCTTGAGATCCTGCAGCTGATGCGAGACAGTAAACCAGGTATTTGAGTGGGTAAGGGTGTTAATTATCCAAGGGTTGAAGCAGGGTGACCCCCTGTCAGTTCACCTCTTCATTATCAACATGGAGCCGCTTATCAGGAGTCTGGCAAAGGTGGCCACTGGAGTACAAGTTGGACCAGTCTGTCAAAAAGTTGAAGGGTTCATTGACGATGTCATTATATTCTCAACCAGGTGCAGCGATCTGAGTCTCATTGATGGGATATTCCGGAGGTACGAAAGGCTGAGCTGTACTCTGCTCAGCAGATCTCGGAAGACAAAAATCATGGGGCTCGGAGAGTGGAAAGATGAAGATAGGTGGGAGCTTCCTTGGGTCCAATCTGTGAAGGATATGAGAATACTAGGGGTTCAGTTAGCTCCTTCATTGCGTCAAACATGTCAGCTAACATGGGAAACTGCAGTTAGGAATATTTGATCACTGGTCCAGCAATGGATTACATGGCGGGGGATTTCCTTGGCAGGGAAAGTGAGACTCCTGAATAAGCTGATTCTGGCAAAACTGTGGTATGTTGCTCAAATACTCCCAATCCAGCAGCAGGTTGTGGATCAAGTGCACCAATCGATGTCCTTCTTCCTCTTCAATGATAAGGTGGAGAGGATTTCCTTGGAGCAGCTGTATGCAGCTAAAGAGCTTGGTGGCCTGGGCTTGGTGAATGTCCAAGCCAAGTGCCAGGCGCTACTAGCAAAAACAGGATATTTGATGATTCAAGGAGGGAGTAAGCATCTGAGATACTGGATGGCTGTAAGTCTTCGTGAACACCTTCCAGTAGCTGGGCCTAGAGCAGAGGTTTCAACAGAGTTCTTCAAGAGCTGGAGTGACCTTGTGAAGGAGGCCTTTGAGGTCCAGGCCATGAACAGGAGAGTGGCGATAACAACAAAGGGCCTATACCTGGGGTTTATGGAAACTCCTCCACCAAGCAGAGTTCAGGAGTTGGATCTACTCCCTGTTGAAACAGTGTGCAGGAGGATGCATAGGGTGGGGGATGAAACAACAATAGAGTTCTACTTCCAGGTAGTCACCAACACTCTCCCTACCAAGGCAAGACTCCACTACCTCAACCCAAGACAGTGGGAAGAAAGTACATGTACCTGGTGTAGGAAGAGCCCAGCAACCACCCTCCACATCTTCACACAGCGTAGAGCAGTGGTTGAGATCTGGGAATGGTTGAGAGCTAAGATCTTCACTCTCTCCAGGGAAACAGTAACCTGGACTGATGAGCAGGTGTTCTGGCTACAGTTCCCAAAGAGTAAGTATGCATTGGAGATAGCGTACCTCACCATAAAGGTAACTCAGCTGTGGTGGATGTTCCAGAAGGAGGCAAGGATCCTGACAGTGAGGCAACTGGAAGCTCTAATCCAACAGGACATTAAGAAAGCGAAGATTCAATAAAGTAATTCCTAATGTAATATACCAGAACATAATTGTATGAAAAAAAAAATGTAAAATGTAAAAATTGATAGATTAGAAATAAATTGTAAGTGAACCGAAACAAGGTTCACCAAAAATTTAAAAAAAAAAAAAAAAATCCAGCAATCCGAGTTCAAATCTCAGTTAGACCTCTAACTTTTTCATTGCAATTAGAGAAATGTGTCCTACATAATGATTTTCCTACGAGGGTTGCACTCTCCAACAGGCCGTAATAGCTCAGTTGGGAGAGCGTTAGACTGAAGATCTAAAGGTCCCCAGTTCGATCCTGGGTCGCGGCATTTTTCTGGTTTGTAACCTTTAATAAAAAAGAAAAATTCTCATCTTTTGAAGAAAATTTTATT